ATATGTATATATATGTATATATATATATATATATATATATATATATATATATATATATATATATATATATATATATATATATATATATATTTCTAGTAGAAATGTAATAGTTAAAGTAATATTTTTTTTTCCTTTTCTCCTTCCAAACGTTCTACTCCGGCATTTTCATCTTCACAGTCGCTATTTCTACTTTCATTTTTTTTTATGAATAATCTTATGATTCTTTCAGTTTCAATATATTTGTTACCATTTTCTGAACATCAAGATTCAGAAAATTCAAGACGAGTGTTCATTCTCCCAGAAAATTAGGTGGTTTTATTTATCTCTAGAATTAATGCAGATTTCTTTGAGTTTTTCATTTATATACAGATGGGAATATTGATATTTTACTGGGGACAAAAGAATTATATTTTCCCCTGCAGAGACACGGGCAAATAGATATTGATATTGGCAACGCGCGCGCGCACACACACAGACACACACACACACACACACATACACACACACACGCACACACGCACACACACACACACATACACACACACACACATTACTTTGTCTGACTCTCTCTCTCTCTCTCTCTCTCTCTCTCTCTCTCTCTCTCTCCCCCTCCCTCCCTCCCTCCCTCCCTCCCTTCATCCATCCCTCCCTCTCTCCCTCCATCCTTCCCTCTCCTCTCTCATCCCTCTCCCTCTTCATCTCGTCCGCCTATACCCTCCGCCTCCCCTCTCCCCCCCCTCCCCCCACCCCACACCCCTCACCCTTGACAGCTGTGGGCCGTACCTTGTCTGCCGGCCTCCCCCCCTCCCCCTCCCCCTCCCCGACAAGGCCACCGCGGTCTCCCAAAGGTCAGCCCCGGTAAGATCTGACATATCAGTTGTCGCCCTCGAGTGCCATGTGGCCAAGACGCGGCCCTGTGAGGCTCTCTGGTGCCACCCTCGGAGTGCCATCTGCTGCATTCTGGGAAGTGAGGCGCCATGTTTAGGAGACTTTTTTTTTTTATTTACTTTTTTTTTCAAATTCTATCATTCATTTATTTGGGTATCGTTTTGTTCGATGGATTGTTCGATGGGTTATATTTCGTTTTTTTTTTTTTTTAATTATTATCTTTCGCTTAGTTATTCCGTTATGGATTCACATACGTTTTATCTTATATTTAATCATCATTTAACGCACTAATCTTCAAAGGGGGATGGACTTCATAAGGATCTCATAGTTTTTTTTCAGTCTAATGTTTAAGACAACATCATCTTTAAACTCTTTTTTTTTTCTTTTAATTCACTGAAGGTCACGATGCACTTGAAAGAAGTATTATTAAAAACAACAGAGTAATTTCATTGTTTTTTTTTTCGTATCATCACCAGCGCGTCAGTTATCAAATGATTATCTTCACTAACCCATGACTCATCGAATTATCATGAAATGAGTATAATTTATAATTGTTAATTGGGACTCTGATGTATTGTATGATTAGCGATTAAGAAAAAAAAAAAGAATTATATCACAAAATAAAAATGATGATGAGAATAATGGAAAAGAATAAGAATAAGAATAAGAAGGAAGATTTAAACAAGAATAAGAATTAGAACAATAATAAGAGCAAGGAAAAGAATAATAAGAACAAGAACAAGAACAAAAACAAAGAACAAGAACAAAAATAAAGAAGTAACATATCCACGATTAAAACTAAGAGTAATGACATTAAAAAACAATGATTGTAAAAATAAAAAAGACACGTGCGTTGACATCATCTTCTCTCTTTAGAAAACTTCAAGAAAATGTCAGCCTTGCATATTTGTAATCCGTGAGGTAGGAAAAAGAATGTGGTAAAATATTCACCATTTTTTCTTTACGCGGGAAAAGAAGACGGGATATTATCATTAAAAACAAAGATGATAGACTCTTTCCCTCCCTCTCTCTCTCACTTCTTTTTCCTCAGTCCAGCCCCTAAAAGCAAGAAAAAATTAATAAAATGAAAAAAAATAAAATGAAAAGTGAAAAGAAAGAAAACGGGAAGAGAAGTGAATAGAGAGAAAACGGGAAGAAAAGTAAAATTAAAGAAAATGGGAAGAAAAGTGAAAAGAAAGAAAACGGGAAGAAAGGTTAAAAAAAGAGAAAACGGGAAAAAATGAAAAAGAAAGAAAACGAGAAGAAAGGTGAAAAGAAAGAAAACGGGAAGAAAAGTGAAAAAAAAGAAAACGGGAAGAAAAATGAAAAAGAAAGAAAACGAGAAGAGAAGTAAAAAAAGAAAAAAAAAAATGAAAACAAAAACCAGAAAGAAAAGTGAGGAAAAAAAAATCGAAGAGGAAAAAGAAAACGGGAAGAAAACTTCGAAAAAAAGAAGAGGGGAGACGAAAGTAAAAGGAGATCCAGTCTTTGATGAAAGTTTTTGGCCTATTATGCATCTCATCTCGGGTAGTTTGCGGTCGCCGTGAAATCGCTCCTTACAACCCCTCATTAGTAGAGCTTTTAGACGACTCATTATTAGAATATGAGGACCATCAGTTGAGTAGTGTGTGAGGGGAAATCGGCGGGGATAATATCCTCATGAGGGGAAGGGAAGGGGAAGAGGGGAGAAGTTGGGGTAAGGGGAAGAGGGGAGAAGAGGGGGAAGGGGAAGAGGGGAGAAGAGGGGGAATGGAAGAGGGGAGAAGAGGGGGAAGGGGAAGAGGGGAGGAGATGGGGAAGGGGAAGAGGGGAGAAGATGGGGAAGGGGAAGAGGGGAGGAGATGGGGAAGGGGAAGAGGGGAGAAGGGAGAGGGGGAGGGGAAGAGGGGAGAAGATGGGGAATGGAAGAGGGAGAAGAGGGGGAAGGGGAAGGCAAGGGGAGGGACGGAGGGCGAAGTAGGAAGTGATGAGAGAAAAGAGGAAGGTTGGAGGTAAAGAAAGGAAATGAGGGAAAAGCGAGGAAGGGAAGAACAGGAAGAAGGAGGAAGTGGAAGACACGGAAGGGTAGGAAGAAGAATAAAGTAAGAGAGGAAGAGATGGAGAGGAAGAGAAGAGGGAGGAGGGGAAAAAAGGGAAGAGGGGGGGGGACGCTGTTTCGAAGGGGAAAGCCATCAGGACAAAATTTTACGGCCGACTCGTTACTGAATCATCTGCCGCGAGATTAATTAACTTAATAGGCAACGAAGCAAGGTTCTGGGGCTGGCAGGAAGGAGGGGGAGGGAGGGAGAAGGGAGGGAGAAGGGGTGGGGAAGAGGGGAAGGATGGAAGGTGGGGGGAAAGGAGGGGAAACGACTCCTTGCCTTTCTCGCCATGTCTTTCTTTTCTTTTTCTTTCCTCTCTTTCCCTCCCTCCCCTCCTTCTCATCTCTCTCTCTTCTCTCTTTTCTTCTTCCTCTCCCACTTTCCCCTCCTCCCCGCCTCTTTTTTTTCCGTGCTTGAAAGTTTCTCCGACGACCGCCTCAGCAGAAGAGTTTTCTGATTCATATGTTAATGGAGAGTCTTAGGTGCACGTACCGGCAGAAGGAGGGGTTGTTTGTGCGTCGGCGGAACCTAAGCTCCGTGCAGCAACTTCAGACGCGAACCCCCGCTGTGTATGAATGATTAATTTGCATATGAGATGCTGGTGTCTCGCTGAGAGTTGATGGGAGTGATAGGAGAGGAAGCAGAAGGGAGGGAGGGAAGAGGAGAGGGGGTAAGGGAGAGAGATGGGGGAGGGGGTGAAGGGGTAGGGGTAGGGGGAGGGCTAGGGGGAGGGGAGGGAATGGAGGAGGAGGAGAAGGGGTATGGGAAGGAGAAAGGGGAGGAGGAGGAGGAGGAGGAGGAGGAGGAGAGGGAGGAGGAGGAGGAAGAGAGGGAGGAGGAGGAGAGGGAGGAGGAGGAGGAGGAGGAGGAGGAGGAGGAGAGGGAGGAGGAGGAGGATAGGGAGGAGGAGGATAGGGAGGAGGAGGATAGGGAGGAGGAGGAGGGAGGATAGGAAGGAGGAGGAGGATAGGGAGGAGGAGGAGGGAGGATAGGAAGGAGGAGGAGGATAGGGAGGAGGAGGAGGGAGGATAGGAAGGAGGAGGAGGATAGGGAGGAGGAGGAGGGAGGATAGGAAGGAGGAGGAGGATAGGGAGGAGGAGGAGGATAGGGAGGATGATGAGAAGAAGAAGAAGAGGAGGAGGAGGAGCAGAAATAGTAGG